TATAATATTAAACATGATGCTGTTGACCAACTTCTAAAGCTTTTGAAAAGAAATAGGCACTCTGAGTTGCCAGCTACTGCTCGTACATTGCTTGGAACTAAAAGAATAATAGAAGTTGCAAATAAATCAAACATGGAATATATATACTTTGGATTGGTAGAACAGTTTAAAAAAGCTTACATTCACTGTAACCTAAGACTATGTCACACAGAACACCTTGAAATTGGATTTAATATTGATGGTGCACCTCCCTTTAAGAGTTCTAGTTCCTCAATTTGGCCTGTTCTTTGCTGTATTGCGAATGTGTCACCAATGTATGTACTTATCCTCGTATTAACTCAAGGTTCTAGAAAACCTAGCAACCTAAATTTGTTGTCAGATACTATAACAGATTTGCAGGATCTCCTTGAATATGGACTCATTGTTAGTGAAATGGCAGTTCCAGTTACAATAAAATACATAATATGTGATGCTCCAGCCAGGGCATTTGTAGAATGTTCTAAGCTTTATTCTGGCTACCATGGCTGTGACAAATGTAGTCAAAGAGGTCAACATAAAAATAGTGGGATGCTATTCCATGATGCTATTTCTAAGAATATAAAGATCATCATCGCGAAGGTGAATCGCCATTCCTTGAGTTGCCAATCGACATGATAATTTCTTTCCCTATTGATTTTATGCACCAAATTGTCTGTTATGTGTTATGAAGAAGATGTTGTTGATGTGGACCAAAGGATCACATAGATTGTTGCAATTCGTTTGTCGGTTGTTCAAGTACAAACTGTAAGTGAAAAATTGGCATTGTTGAAAAATTCAGTAACAAGTGAATTCCAAAGAAAACCAAGAACATTATCTGAAATTGAAAGATGGAAAGCCACAGAATTTCGTAAGTTTTTACTTTACACAGGAAAGTTGGCTCTTCATGGAACTCTCCTGCATGTGCAGTATGAGCACTTCATGCCACTAAGTGTAGCTTGCTGTATACTAGTAAACCGAAAATTAGTACTTTCCTACAAGGAATATGCCCATCAGTTATTAGTGTACTTTGTGGAAAAGGGGCGAGATTTGCATGGGCAAGAGTTTATAATATATAGAGTTCATACATTGCTTCATTTTGCTGATGAAGCAGAGTTATTTGGTGATGTAAATAATTGTTCAGCATTTGCTTTTGAAAATTACATGCAAGCCTTAAAAAAACTTTTAAGGTCTGGCAAACATCCCATTGCTCAAATAGCAAAAAGACTAAGTGAAAGAAATATCTTGGAAAAAAAAAATTGAAAATCAAAGTGCTGGTATATCATGTAAATCACCAGATAACTGTTATATTGTATTCAAAACAGTAGAGAAAATCCGATCAGAATGACAAAATAAACTAAGCATCCACTGGAAGGAATCCCAATATCTGCAGACGGA